GTGAATCCCCCCAGGGTCATTCCAGCCCGGAGTGAATCCCCCCAGGGTCATTCCAGCCCGGAGTGAATCCCCCCAGGGTCATTCCAGCCCGGAGTAAATCCCTCCAGGATCATTCCAGGGTCATTCCAGCCCAGAGTGAATCCCCCCAGAGTCACTCCAGGGTCACTCCAGCCCAGGAGCTGCCCCCTCCCAACACCCCCAGAGGAACTGAACTGCTTTAGAGCCTCCTGGCTTGTTAATAATCACAGTCACTCATTAATTATTAATTAATTAACACCAAACCTACTCCAGGGTCCCTCCAGCCTGGGAGCACCCGGAGCTCCCCCCTTGTCACCCCCCCGGGGCCCATTTAGCTCCCCCCCGCTCATTAACCAGGCCGTTAATTAGTGCCAGCAGCCCGCCCCCCGAATCCCAGCGGGTCCCGCGGGAATTGCCGGCATTCCCGGTGGGAATGGGGGGCCAGGAACGCACGTTTGAGCCCCGAGGAGGCCTTTTGGGGCGGGATGTGCTGCACCACCCGCGTGCCCCCGAAGATGACGTGGAGCCGGGAGTCGCCCTCCATGTCCAGCACGTGCTCCGGGCTCAGGTCCTCCACCGGCTCCTGCAGTGGGAAACAGGGAATGGGGCCTGGGATGAGCGAGGGAAACGGGAATGCCCCGGGCTGGATGCTGGGGGGGCACGGGAAGGGGACGGGATCACACCGGGAGGGTGGGGCTGGGGGGCTTCCCCTTCCCAAGGAATTCAATCGGAATTACAATAATAACAACATTAACAATAAAAATAAATTTCATACTTCTTAAGTCTCCCACTGGCACAAAAAGCAGGAAAAACGAGGGGGTTTCCCTGATTTTTGACTGTTTTCTCTGATAAATTTTGACTCTTTTCCCTGATAAATTTTGATTCTTTTCCCCAGTTTTTGACTGTTTTCCCTGATAAATTAGGATTCTTCTCCCTGATTCCTGAGAGTTCTCCCTGATTTCTGTGGGTTCTCCCCAATTCCTGAGGGCTCTCCCTGATTTCTGTGGGTTCTCCCCGATTCCTGAGGGTTCTCCCCTATTCCTGAGGGTTCTCCCCAATTCCTGAGGGTTCTCCCTGAATTCTGTGGGTTCTCCCCAATTCCTGAGGGTTCTCCCAGGTTCCTGAGGGTTCTCCCCAATTCCTGTGGGTTCTCCCCAATTCCTGTGGTTCTGCCCAATTCCTGAGGGTTCTCCCAGGTTCCTGAGGGTTCTCCCCAATTCCTGTGGGTTCTCCCCAATTCCTGTGGTTCTGCCCAATTCCTGAGGGTTCTCCCAGGTTCCTGAGGGTTCTCCCCAATTCCTGTGGGTTCTCCCCAATTCCTGT